GCCCTGGGCCCCGGCCCCGGGGGGCTCCCCTCACCAGGGGTCGCGCGGCAGGGCGCCTGCCACGCCCCTACCCTTCCTTGGGCGCCCCCTGTTCGCGGTGGCCCCCGGGGACAGAGCGCTCGCCCTGGAGCGAGCCCGGGGCACCGTGGTGTCCGCGCAGGGTGCTATGCGCTCCGGCCGGCGGAGACGGAGCGAAGCGGAGCCGGAGAAGGCTGGACGCGGAGAAGGCGCGAGTCGGAGTCCCCGGGGAGTACCAAGGGACGCAGGGCAGCGGGAGCCCGGGACTCCGGAGCGCGATCCGGACAAGGCCACCCGCTTCCGGATGGAGGAGCTGCGACTGACCAGCACCACGTTCGCGCTGACCGGCGACTCGGCACACAACCAAGCCATGGTCCACTGGTCGGGCCACAACAGCAGCGTGAGTAGAATGGGCTTGCGGATCAGGGGATGATGAAGGGTGGAAAGGGTTAAAGCTGGCTGTATGATCCGGAGGAGGAGGAGGAGAAGGAGGAGGAGGCAGGCGGAGAGGGAATAGGACTTATGCACCCAGGGTGGGTGGGTGGGGGGGATACTGCAAACTAAAGTCTTGGTTACCCACATTCCCCAGGAGTTACCACTGGCCCTCTTGGGTCCCCGACTCTGGTGAACACCTTCCCTAGATCTCTACAGACCTGGCTCAGACCTTCAGACTGAGGAGCGCTCAAATCCGTGTTTCCTGCCCCTGTGGTTGCATTGGTGTGTGGAACTGAAGACTAGGCAGATAAAGGGTTAAACTATTTTGGCCACCGGGGCAAAAAGGTTAAATTTCCAGACAGGCGGACATTTCCTCCAGTGGCTTCCCCTTTACTTGCTAGACTTACCGATGATGGGGCTCAAGTCGGATCAAGAAGGCTCATTTGTGGGCTTTTTATTTTATATTGGATGCAGCGCTCCTCCATTGTCACCCTTCCCCGCAGGGGAGGAGGACTACAGTGGACAGTAGGTGCCTTTAGTGAATTCCCCGATTCTGGGGACCAAGTGGGTGCAAGTTTCAGGGCGGAAACTCTCCAGCATCTTCTAACAGCCACCCACTGGGAGGGTGCTTGAAGAGCTGGGGCCTTCCAGCCTGTGAATGAGCAGTTGTTCTCCAGCAGGATCAGTCCCAGGGAGATCAGATCTAATGCAGGGACAACAATCCCCTGTTTTCCCGCTATTGCCTGACCTCCTCTAGTGAATGGCACATAACATAATATGACTGGCCATCCTTTTATGAAGAGAAGAAAGTGGCGCCCAGACTACAGGAGGATGATGGCATTAGGGGCACAGTTGGACGTCTGTGTGTTTGGGCCATGGCAGCGTGGGTTTTATGATTCACCGCATGTCAGGAATCCGGCAAGGGAGCCACTACTGTGTCCACGGAACCTAGAAACTTCTGAGAGCTGAAACAGTTAAAGAGCCAGCTCTGTTGATCACAGCTGAAGACAGTACAAAAGTGTGGAAAGTTGTCCAGGTAACCAGGATAACACGAAGGGTGATTGTAGTAGCAATAAAAGAGGGGGTTCCACCAGGAAATGGAAATCATCGTCTTTCTAACAGGAGCAGGCTCTGCAGCGCCGGCTACCTTTCCAGTGTTTTCAGCTGTGATGTAATTGCCAGCAATCTTCGTGGAGAAAGCGCCGCGTTGGTGTGTTGTGCTTGTGCTAATGGTCAGCTGCTTTTGAACGAAAGTCGTGAACATTTCCAAGTAGTTGTCTGTCGTTATGGATTCCGTGGGTGCACAGACGTAAATCGTGTTAAGGAAAATCATGATGATAGCGTTTTGTAGAGGTGCCACAGTCCTGGGAGTACCGGCAGGATGCTCCTACAACTGAGCATTCAAGAGAGTGGGCTGTGGTTTTTCATGGTTCTCAGGAGTGGTTGAATCCAATCATCGAAGCAGAAATTCTTTCCATTCAAAGCTCCAGAGACCTTGTTCTCATCTCCTACCTTCACTATCCTGTCTTTCACATCATATAGCCAATACAGTTCAGCCTCCAACTTGAAAGTCTGAGCCTTTTAAAGCAGACTGAATAACTTTCTCACTGCTTTAAGCGATTAAGTCAAAGCTTCTGGCTTGAAGGGGGAGATTTTCAACAGAGCAAACACGTTAGATCTTGTAGCCAGAAGCAGAGGACCTGGGACTCAACGTTTTCTGGCCTTTTAATGTCACTCAAGCCGTAAAATACCACTCTCCCATGAGTCCGCCACTTTGGTCCATCTCTTGAAAGATCTTGGAAAGAGTGAGAGGAGGAGAGTACATTGT